CAAAGCAAAAATCAGACCGCCTTTTTAGATCAAAGAGATACAGTTCCAGATATCACATTTAATGAAGTAAACACTTCCCTTAGCGGTGTGAGCAAGGGAACACTCGTGGATCAGATGCTATAACCGTAGACATCATCAAAGAAGTGGGACCAGCTATTGGAACATTTGCATATCTCTTTCCTAGATATTTAAACAGAAAAGAAACACCTTCATTGTGGAATGATACTCATTCTTGTATTGTAAGTGGGAGACAAAAGTGGCATGAAGAACTACAAGCCCATTCATCTCTTTTCGCACATATATAAATTATTCAAGGTCACTGGCACAGAACAATGAACAATATAGAAGCCAACCAACCATGTGAGCAAGCTGGATTTAAGAAAGGTTTTTCTACCATGGGAAACAACTGGAAAATCGACCACAGTATGTAAGGCATTTTGACGACTGACTGGTATAGAAATTCTGAAATAAATGAGGGAGCAAGAGCAGAACGGAGTGCTTTTAGGATATTTAAATTGATAACATGGAATAACATTCCAATGTGCCTAACACAGAAAGTTTTCCATCAGTGAATATTACCGGCGATGACAAATAGATTGGAAACATGGCCAATGAAAATAAAATGGAAAAGGAAGGGTTGAAAATGCGCAAAGAAGCATGCAAAGGTGCAAGCTTGCAACTATATTGTGAAATGGAAACAAGAACGCATGGATAACAGGACAAACACAAATTATAGACAACATTAACTGTTAAGAAAAGTAAGAGTGCCTGGCTTAGGACACATTGCAAGAAGGGTTGATTGCCATTCGTCAAGGCTGACGATGGATTGACAGGCGAAGGAGGAAACACGGCTGAGAGCACCGTCACTGTGGAGATGGAGCGATGAGATTGGCGAGTGTGCAGAAGGTCGGTGAATTGTTGCATCGCGCGACCATGATAGATGGCGGCGGCTTGCGGAGGGCCTCGATCCAACAGCGGATAAAGCACGGCTGACTACGCCGACTGACGATGACATTTTTGAAAACATCCTTGCAAAAAGTTTTGCACGCACCAAAGTCAAAGTCGAGAACCTACAAATCAACACAGGACTGGATTAGCCTGCTATGCTATTGCACGCTTGAACTTCAAAACAGTACAAGCATTTGCGTTTGAAATACACTCTCAATATAAAGGAGGGCTCTTATCACTCGCACACTGACGCCTGTGCTGTTATTCATGGGTAGCTGTATATTGGATGTCCTGTACTGGCTCCCTCAGCGGCTGTTAACATTTTCATTATTTTTCTAACTTTATGGCCCATTATTTTAGCCCTCGCAGTTTGTTATCTTGCTTCGTTGAGCAAGACAGCTCTTTTTTTTAATTGGTAGATTTTCACCAAAGCACATAACTGTGCATCGAGAAGAGCTGGGCACATGCTCAACCAACAATAGATTGGACCCCTATAACTGGTATTAAACTAATGAGCAAAGTTGAAGAGAGTAACTGCATGAAATTTAACAAGGAATATATTTTATTGCCCCCTGTTAATGCGAGTCTTAAAGACGACTTTTCGTAAAAGCCCGTGTTCACAGACTCGCAGAAAAATTCACGGCCAAGCTTGTGGGGGCAAACACGAGTCGGCCAACATTTTCCAAAGGCTCCGTGCTCGTTATGATGATTCCTTGAGGATGCATTCATCACCCAATTAACTGTAGCTGGATGCATGTTGTGTGCGCGGATGCTCTTGGCTTTTTAAAAAACACGCATTACACACACAGGCTAAACAGCTAATTCTTCAGTTCAGGAAGCTTACAATGAATGAGCTCATCGTAATGTTGTATTACAAATAGGTTGGCTAGAAAGTTTTCTGAATTTAGTTATTTAGCGTGGTACAAATCAGAGTGCCCTTACAACAATGACCTTCAACTGTTTAATAATTGCATTTTAAAAAGATCACTGAATCTATGAAATTATTAGCAACACATTTACAAAAATATATTTGTTGGAATCCCACTCACAACCAATAATAGTGGTGAATATTGAACTGGGCTCAGGCCTATTCTAGGTTGAATCAGCATTAAATGAATATCTGTTGCGGTGAGGCAACATCAGCACTGCGGAGACAAAGGCGGCCGGGTGTGCTGCTGGCCACCCACCCGCTCACGTGTCTTGCCGACCTTCATAGGTGGTTGCGAACAGCACTTGTACCAACAGTCTGTTAATGAGTACAAGGTGGATCTTTGTATTTTTTAAATATCTATACACATACGCACGCGCCAAAGCTCAAAATTGCTTCTGCAAACTACAGCATTCTAAAAAGACGTGACACCATCTCCATCACATCATCAATAGGCTCACAAAGTCAAAGTGGCAGTAACATTAGAGGTCAAAACAAATGAACAAAATTGCCATAAATGGAACCGTTAAGCTGGAGCACTGAAGCATTTAAATATTGAATCCATAATGAACATTAAATGTAAACGTCTTTCTTTCCGAGCGTAGGTGCAGGCCTTGCTGTTTCTTTACGACTTCATTTAAGAGGCTCTACTTCTGCCCATGTTGGTGAGCGCAGCATTTACATGTTTCCGTATTCCACCCGACCTCTCTGCATTAAAGTAGCAATTACCTTACAATGAGGGCACAAGACATGTCTTCATATTACAGTGACTCGTACAAAGTAAACACATTCCTCATCGTTTAGTTTTGCCTCACATCGAAACTTGCGGATGTTTAAAGTGGGCCATTCACCTGAATTGATTGCGAGAGAAGAAGTAATTTGTGCAAGTTTCTGCACAGATGCAGACAATCTTCAGTCAAGCTCAGTGTAAGGTAAGAGGCCATTATGAACACCCAGATATTGTCGTGAGAAGGAAGTTTTTTTGATGAAGGTGAAGCAATCTAATAAAGTTTCAAGCAGTTTCTAAATTAATTACTACCAATACAATGAAGGTGAAATAGAAGTTCTTCTTACAATATCCATTCGTCATGAATAATGCTGTTTTCAAGCGAAAGATGGCAAAAGGGTATTATGGGGGGTAAAAATTATATCGCCACAATCAATGGTAAAAGAGACGTGTGCCACGAACAAGGGAAGCTGTAGATTTGAAGCTTTCGTGACTGCAGGTAAAGTCACCTGATGACGGAGACTTGTGTTGCCTCCGAAACGTCGTGATTTTTATTATTTTATTAATTTTAATTTCATTTTTTTACCTACGTGACTTTACCGAAAAAACTAAGAGTATAAGGGAAGCTGTCCTCAAAAGTTTTCCGTTCAGCAAACGGCTCTAAATCAAAGTTAAACGTTGGCACAAAAGAGGAGGACATTTTATTACTTCATTTGCCATAGCCATAAACACGTGCCGAGTTAACTGCTTATCAGATCCGATACCATTTAAAAATTCCTTTTTGTTTTAGTACCTTATTAAAGGGCTTAATCCAGACATCACGTGCAGTGATCTAGTGGCGCGCGGGTCAGTGTCAAAGCTGTCCACGCAACGTGCGTTTCTTGAGCCGCGCGTCCTTTTAGACTCACAAAACAAAAGCCGCCGCATTTCAACGAAAATGCGTTCAGTGGCGTGATGGCACTCACCTGTTGTGAGAGCTGTCGTGTCACTCGGGGCGGACTACGTGGTGTGGCGGGGTGGTGTACCGGCTTTTAACGTTTTTTGCCTTCTTTAGCAATCACCCATTGACGTACACTAAGCTAGTGGCGCTTAAGCTAGTGAGTGCGCCTAATGAATGACGACCGCAAGGAGCTAAGGAGGGGAGACGCTCGCAAGGCTTAACACGTCCGGCAATCACGAACCCGCAACGGAGAACCCTGCCCGTGATAATCATCGCTGCCATCTGGTTATCCTCTATCGAATACCGTGAGCTCCAACCCTGTCCGGGTTTTATTTTTATTTTTAGACAACGACGTCAAACAGGGCAGCGTACGTGTGTGTGAGGCCCCGGCAGTGGCATTCTGGTTAAAATAGTGGACAAAATGACACAACATTTTCTGAAAACTACTCAAGCCTTTGAAAGAATATTCATGGGTAAACACAGGACATTCGTCCTTTCCATTTACCGGAGATACCCATTGACATTAAATTGGTTACACACTGACCAATGGTGTCAATTGTGTGTTTTTTATTATTGTCCCTCTGCTCTGCCCAATGTCTATGTTTTGACACTATAAACGCCAGATTGTAGACCACAGCAGGCTAGGTTCGCCAGCTTTCTGCGAGCCCAATACAAAGCGTGACCACTTCCAAATGTGCACTCTGGTAAATTCTGAAATGATGTGTTAAGAACATGACGACTGCATGACAGTGAAATAACAAGCGTTATGGTGCTGAACAATAAGGCTAGCTGAATGACAGCTACGAGTAGTTAAATTTTCGAAGGCTGAACTTCCCCTCTCTAAATGCCTACAAAGGTAATTTTATTTTCAAGCTGTCTGCAATAGTTGGAGGTGGGTGGACATCATGCAAAAACGAGTACAATTAAGTGGCGAGAATCACAGCATATGCAAATATACATTGGGAGTGAGAACTAGAGCAGATTGCATGCTGGACAAACGTGCAAATAGTAAAGTTACTAGTTCTGTTTCGCATTTAACCTTTTATTTAAAGTGTTCTTTAACAGTTAACCGTGACTATTCTGCGCCCCTTATTGAGTTGATGGATGCCCCTGGTCAGATGGCTCAGTGGGAGATCGAGAGCGGCTAGCAATCAAAAGATTTCGAGTTCGAATCCTGGTTCGGGGGTTCACTCAGTCCACCATCGCTCCAGGATTGATAAACAATAAGTACCACTTTTACGGCGAAGTCAACAGTGGTTGTCCTATAAATAGATGTGCCCCCGGCTGCCATACGAATGTGGAATTTCCACCACTGGCTCTGCAGGGCAGCAAACAGAGGAGATGAGCACCAATGCCTCCATGCTCATTTGAGCGGCAGGAGATCGCTTTTGACGTTTGACTTTTTTTGTTTATACAAGGTCACGCTACAGTTTTTGGCACAATCCTAAGGAACTCACCGAGCTGAGCGAGTCCCGCGTGGGTGGGCGGTTGTGCCGAGGGGTGGCGGAGGCTATGGTTGTGGAGATCTCCATGAAGGTCATGGAGCGGTCGGTGGGGCGTACCGTGGCCGATGGCTCGGTGCTGAGGATGGAGGGCACGTCGCCCACAAGGCGAACGTTGCCCTGCGTCTTGATGTTCGGGTCGTTCTTGGCCGTCAAATGGAGCACCTGGAGGCCATTGTAGTAGAGGCCCGCAAGCTGGCCCTGGAAGGGGCGCTCTCTGTCTTGCCCGCCAATGGTTATCGTCGCTTGGCTGTTGAATATGGTCAGCTGGCGCCCTGCGGAGAAGCGGAGCAAGCGCAAGTCAGCGGTTGCGGGCGATTCGGCCGCCAAGATTGCGCTTTGCAAACATCGCTTCAGGTCTACTCGTCGTCGTTACGTAAGCGTCGCTTCAATATCCAACCAGTGGCTTCGCAAATTTTGAACGATATCATCGCTTGATGATTTACATTTCATGGAAGTAAAAAAAAGTCATTCTACAAATATAATATAGAGCAAACACTTTGGTTCTTAGAAAGCGCGAAATTAAATACCCATAAACTACAAAATTCTTCTTCTTGGTTCTTTCGGTAAAGTCACGTAGAAGGGAAATAATAAAATAATAATTAAACATAATAAAATACAATAAAATAATAAAAATAAAACATAATGAAATACAATTGTATTTTATTATGTTAAATTTAAATTATTTTATTATTTCCCTTCTACGTGACTTTACCGAAAGAACCAAGAAGATGAATCCCTGCAGTCACGACAGCTTTAAATCGAAATTTACAAAATTCTTACTCATTAAACAAATTACTGTAACTTTAAGGATACATTTCTCAATATAAAACTAACGAATAACATGATTATGAATCTTTGGAGGTACATGAGATGTAATTTATTGCATCATTTCATGGGTAAGAAGGTGGCATGAATTTGTGAGGCTGTAATGAATAATGACACAGCAGTGTCAGGTTATAATGCACTATGTCCAATATGACAGCGACTTATTTGGCCTTAAGGAACAGGCAAGTCAGGCAGCAAAATATCAGACTTCCACAGTTGGCTGGGAAGAAAAAAACCTAATAGGATGCCTATCAGTAAATTTTCCATGAGCCCCAATCTGATATAATGCACCTGTGTGTTTGTTTGCCTGGGGAAAAAAATTGGAATAATGCGATTTGATTTTTTACGTAATATTGTCATGCTGTAGTGATATTCATCATCTGAGCTAGAACCCTATTTAAAGCCAGTTAAGAGTTGAGTTTTAAAACTTTTCATTGACTTTGCAATTGGGTTTTAGTTACCATTTAAAATATTACATATTGAGAGTCCTTGAAAACACAAGAGCTTTTATCGTTGCATAAGCATGTTTGTGATTGCCACTGTTGACTATTAAGGTTACTTTAATATAGCTTCATGTTCAATTATACACTACGGAGCAATTTAAAGAGCTTTTTGTAAAAAAAGTTGTTTAAATTAAATTGGTGTACACACCGTTTCATTATGAATAGAAGCTCTTGCAATTAATACAAGTTTAAATTGGGATATATTACAAATGGACATCAACAAACTGACATTGCCAAATTATTGTAGGCATCCTAAATGTTAATAAAAAATGTACATATTATTAAAAAAACAAATTAAAAGCTATTAAATGTTATGGCTCTTTAATTGTTCACGATTTCAAACAAGTTAAAGTAAACTAAATGACACGTGTATAAATTAACATTTATATCTTTAACAAATAGCCTGAAAAATCTGAACGTTTTATCATGATGCTGGCCCATTAATAGGGGCTTAAAACTCAACGGTGTGTCATCTATATATCTATTCAGCCTCTTTAGTAATTGGTTATTAACAACGCACTTTCGTGTGCAACTTGAATTGGAAGACAAATCAAAATCCAAACCAAAACAACGACGTTAATTTCAGCATGACTTACAATTAATCATATGAGCATTGGTGCATTATAATTTAAAAAGCAGGTTTATGTCAGTGAATGTTTAAACACGGTTACATCTGGCAGGGTTATGGGTAGCAGGAGTTATGCATGTTTACAGCTATAATGTTTAGGGTGGCAGAGTTACCTTTGTCGAGTAGCCAATCATCAACTACTCGGCCGAGCCGATATGGGATTCTCTGCCTGGCGAGCGCCAGGCGTTCGTTATCAATGTTACCTTTAAAGTTTAAAAACATATTTCATTGGTTAAAAAAAACCACATATGTCAAAGGTTAAAGGTTAAGACGTGAGTTAAGAGTTTACAAAAAGGTCATAGAAAATTACTTTTAAAAATGTTTAATGTCTCATACTCCAGGTTATTAAGGCATTTTTAGAAGAGGAACTTTTTTTTGGCAAATTTATGTTCATTTAACATGTTTTTGGGTCGTGTGAATGAATCACACATTAGTTTATTATTTAAAGTTTTAAACAGCATTCTGCCATTTTATATATTTTTTTATCGAATCGTTAATTCTGTTTAGAAGAATGTTTTATTATTGTTCTTTCTACAACCTTTCTGTTTTTCTTCGCTTCAAGAACAAAGGGATTTTTTGACAAGTTCAGCGTTACAAACAATTGTTTACATGAAACATCACGACAGAGCACGTATTAATAAATAAGGCTTAAACATTTGACATTTTAGAGACCTTATACACTTTTAAAATTAAAAGTAACACAGATGCACAGTGCCCGTTTAATCTACGAGTTAAACCATTTACTTTGAAGTTAAAGAGCACTTTCAACATGAGCACAACTCAAAATAAAATATGCCGTGCAAAGTCAACATACCAAACAGCCAGTTTGTGGATTACACAATCCTCTGCAACATGTTAAGGCATTGTAAAATGTTATTTGATCTGTTATTATTTATTTAGGAACGTCCTCGTAGTATTTGCTAAAAATGTGTTTATCGAGTTATGTGAGTCATGGACGCTGGCGCGAATGTTAATGTATTACACATTGATGTTCATCACAATAACATTTCCATACACTTCACAATGTAAACACTCCTGCACTAATGATGCATGGCGAAAAAACATTAACAGATGATTTGTTTACTTGAAGACTGCTATATCTTCACCCCTTTATTGATGATCAATTTTACTAAATACATTTAACCGTAACTGAAGGGACACACTAAGGCTGCAGAGAGACAGAGACCAGTGGCAGCCTAGGACAGACTTTGAACGTGGGGGCTTAAATGAGGATATTTTATCAGCTGACCAGGGCAAGAGAGGTCAAGGGGCAGCCCTGCAATTGCTTGCTCAAGCCACTGTTAACGGATGAGCCTCCACTAGAGGGAGCTCAAGAGGCCCCTTCTAGTGGGTATTTGGCCTACTCTTCCATGCTGGCCAGACGTCTTAGAACATATTGGAGTCTCCATACGTTCACCCCAAAATAGACAACCTTCTTCTCTTTGACTAACTGCGGTGTAACCCATTTACACTACTAGATGGACAAAGGCGGTGGAGTTTAAGAAACTTGCACCATTGTTTCAACTGCCGCTTGTAATGTTTTGAAATGTTTAGCTAATTCCCTTATCACTGGAAGTGTGGGTAGAAAACAGCGTACCTGGAGAAAAACCACACAAACGAGGGGATAGCTATCAAACCTCAACACAGACTGCCGTTATAATACTATCATTGTACCACCTCGGGCAAATGCTCTAAATAATTAATCTACTGGAAAAAAGCTTCATACTCTTAGGTTTTTTCGGTAAAGTCGCGTAGGTAAAAATAAGTAATAAAAATAATAGAAATAAAATAATGTTATTTTTTATTTTATTTCTATTATTATTTATATTATTTGTATTATTTATTTTACCTACGTGACTTTACCGAAAAACCCTAAGAATATGAATCCTTGCAGTCACGAAAGCTTCAAATCTAAAAAGCTTCATGACTCTCTGTATATTAAAGTAAATTATATGCAATAGAAATGTATGCTATTCATCAAAATACTTCTGAAAACTATAATAAATTACTTTATATATATCTTTGGGGTGGAGTGATGGTGCAATAGTTTGCACATTTGCACTTTTAATCACGACGACCCGAGTTCGATTCATGGGCCAAGGCTACCATCATTAGCGAGTGATATGATCAGTATCGGTCCTGACCCCCAATGTCAACGACTTTTACTGACCAGCGTAGTGAAGTATAGTCAAACAGTCCCCATGATCGAAACTGCATGGCGAAGCCTTCATCCAACAGTAGCTTGCCAAAGGTCTGTACATTATTAATGGTAATCAAACTGTCAAAATGCTTTCTAAAACCATTTTTCTTAAAATGATGCTTACACGTGTCTAATGTGATGTATTTTTTAAAATTAAAATCGCAAGCGGAATATTCTGGGCTGCACTTTACATTTGGCTTATAATGTGCAATACATATTTGCTTGTTTCCTTAGCCTACCATAAACACTATAAATGAAGACATGGAAGAGAAAATGTTCAGGCATGTTATTCAATAGGGATTGAAAATGTCATTTTTGAATATTCATTAAAATTCTTAATGGCCTTAAGCCACAAGCTTTGCTCAGTTTGTAATTCTTGGAGCTAAAAAAAATACAATTATAATTTTTTTTATGGTTAGCAGTGTTGATTAGCATTTTTTTAACTTGCATCTGCTGAGCCTAATACATTAAGTTTATGACTGCCACTGGGTATGTCGTAATAACTTTTATTTCAAAGACAGATTAGGCCGGAGTGGAAAATTGTTCATGTTGGAAGGAAAATCAAGATGAAATAATTGCTTGTAAATATGCAACATCAATAACGACCATTCTTTGATGTTTTTGTAGAGAATATAACATTTACATGTACAAAAACTTGATTGGAGCGAGATTTAATTTGTACTGAATTATCAAGGCTGCAATGTTGGTTACATTATAACCCTCATCCTCAGCTTCAGGAGCCAATGTATCGTGTAGGTAAATTTGAAAGTGCAGCCCCCATAATGCCCTGTTCACGCCACTGATGACAGATGGGCCTCCGCCAGAGAAAGTTCTGAGAGCCCCTCTTGGGGGTAATTTGGCCTACTCTTCCTCACTGGCCAGACGTCTCGGAAGAGGAGGGATTACCCACAGTTGAAGGTATATTTACACAATGTATTGAATTGAGGCTTCTTAATTCAGTGAAATAGTCGGCACTCTGAATATGAAAGTTTTAGAGGCTATTTAATCACGGTCACGTATCAGCGACAAAAAATATACGTTTAAACCAATTGCCTACATAATATGTTGCAGACACTTCAGGAAAGTTTCGTATACAATGGTGCAGTAATTTGACAAAGTAATAGTTAACAGCGCACACAGTAGTTAAGTAACTGCAGTAGGGAAATCTATTTTACGGAGAGGAAAATATGCAAATGTCATAATCTTGAAAACGGCCCGAACAAGTAAAGCGTGCATGCGTATATATGATGGTGTGTGCATGTATTTTCATGCTTGTGTGCGTGTCTGAATGTAATTACATCTTTGTGTGCGTTCATAAAAAAAATATCATAGTCTTAGGAGTTTATATGAATGGCCCATTTGGCAAAAACAAATGGTCTCCTTAATAAAAGTGCGTTCAATCAAAACGCATGTGACAAGCACAAAATGGCCGCCTGGCTTTTGAAGCAGACAATACCAGCAATTGAAAAAAAAATAACAGTTTGGTATAAAAACATATTTCTAATAAAAAAAAAGACATTCTTAGTTAACAAGTAATATTCCGAATGTGCATTATCGTTTGTTAAATGACATTGCATGAGGTGTATTGGAATGTTAAGCTATGTTTTATTAAATTTATGCATGACCCTTCAAAGTGGTTACATCAAAAACTAAATCAAACTTTAATCTCTGCAGACTTACAAGCACGCTGTTTTACGATCAAAAAGTTTCAACGCATTTGTCAACACCTGCCCTGAAAGGTAAACCAATGTATAATAGGCACAACGAAATCTCGACTTGTTATTTTTTATTGTTATTATCTTTGAACCTATCCACGTGACTTTACCGAAAGACCCAAGAATGTGGGCACAACTGTGGTGCGGTGGCCCTTGATCGGAGCACACAGGGAAGTGTCGTTTACAGATGTGTCCAGTGTTGTTGGCGCTCATGCACCCCTGCCACTCAAGTATGACGACAATTATTTCAGTCTCCATTTCTTCATCTAGCCAGGAAAGTCACACTGAGGCGAAAAGACAAATTTTTCAGGAGTTTTTAGTGGAACAAAAACATTTCACCAATTGTTCTATAATCAAACACAAAAAGGATAGCACGTGTAACCACACGTGCTACGGGCTGCTGCCATGATCATCGTGCTAACTATTTTTTATCCATTTTCATTGAAAGCTGCCCTTTAAAGCCAACAACCTGTGAAATATGTTATTAAAATCTGAGGCGAGCGCAGCTGAGCCTGGAATAAACCGTGGCCTTAAGATCGCCCATTCCTGTGCGTGTGTTGCCTGGTGGACTTGCACTCACGATGGCCACTAAAGACATTTTTTACTTTGAGAGTTCGCTTTCTTGAACCGTATAGCTCTCCTCGTTGCGTTTGGCTGACTAAAAATAAAACCCCCAATCCTTTTGGATATGATCTAAGGTGGTGTTCTTTTTTATTTTCATTTCGTGGTCAATTTTTTTGTAATTTTCATCCAGATTGCGCTATCGGTGTCATGCAATGAGACAAAGTATCCATTCGGATCTCTCAAAGGGCAGTGCAACCCTACGCATTAAAGAACGGGTCTACACAAGTGGCACTATCTCTGATATCCCTCCGAGTGACCTCTGCGCCGCATGCAGCACGTTTGCACCCATTCTGCACATGGTGGTCAAAGCGATATTTTCATTGTCAGTGCTGAAATGCAGACAAATTAAGTGCAAACCCGAATATAATGTGATGGCTTTTTTTGTGCAGTCATTGGTGACTGGGCTAAGACCATTAACTAATTACACTTGAGAACCCAGTTATAATCGCCAGCTTTCTTAATACCATAACATTCATGTTGCATGTCTCTCAAAGCTGGAGGAAGTGCCTTTACATTTTTTCAAGACAAATGCCACCTATTGTTTTCAGTAATGTATGCATTATGAAAACTTGATATATATATATGTTTTCATCATGCAAGCGTTCAGGGTCAACTTGAAATGGAATACATTTTGATCTCACCACAAGGTTTTGACTATTTGTCC